ACCTGCAGGTAGAACTTGAATACGCCTGGATCAGAGCAGTTGACCAGGAGAAGGTGCTTCTGGAAGACGAAGAGCGACCTCTTGATCAGCGAGAGAGTCGCAACCAGCAGCTTCTGAAGGAAGAGGAAGAGCAACTCGCCTTCGGCCGAGTAGCCGTAGGCGTCAAGGGCGACATCGACGGTGCCGTTTTCGACCAGAAAGCGGTGGTGCCGCAACAAGTCCACCGCCGTCTCGTTCTGCCTGTCGGAGTGGCCGTGCTGCTTCGACACGGCCGATCCAGCCAGAAATCGGACTGAAATGGAGACCACGAGGTAGAAGCAGAATACCACCCTAACTACCCCTGCTACGTACGACATCTCGCCCAGTCGCTCTGCCATTTGTCTCCTGATCTGCCTCTGATTGAACCAGAAGCAGATGGCCTTGATTGGCGCGTAGTATCCGATGGTGACGAAGACCAGGCGGATGCTCTTTGCGAATCTGCTGCACTGGGCGTGGAGATTCTGTCCGATTTCAGTCGTGGCCCCTGGCTGCGACTTCAGGGCGAAGTCGTAGCTTGCGACGTAGCAGTCGCGCTGGACGAGTGTCTCGAGGGAGATCTTCGCGTAATCCGAGAGAAGTGGCATCAAATGGGAGAGAACCAGAACGATGACGAAGAGACGCGTCTCCATCTTCGCGTCCTTCTGCTCGTAGGCGACCTTGCAGTCGAGTGACCTCACTTTCGCGTATTTGAGGGCCGTTCTGACTGAAAGCAGCAGCAGAAGCAGCCAGATCGCTGGCCCGTTGGTGAGAAGCCTCAGAAGGAGATTTCTAATCAGCATGGACGGTAAGAAAAATGTGCAAAATTTACCAATATCACACAAATGGGTAATTTGAATAGGTTAATCTGAATAGATAGTTTGAATAGATCGGTTTGAATAGATCAATCTAAAATACTCAAATATATTAGCCATTCAACTCGAGACACTCCTTCTCGAAGTCACACGTGTTTAGCCAGTATTTGTGGAACATCATAATGAAGAGGGTGTTAGCTGCCTGAAAGACGAAGAAGGCATCGAGGTTCCTTTCGGTGAAGAGTGCCACGACGTCGCCTCCGACGAGAGTTGGCACCAGCGAGAAGAGGTAGAGCACCACGATGATCCCCAGGACGCCGTACGCCCAGATGTCGCTCTTCGTCTTCCTCAGCTTCTTCGTCTGCATCGACAGGTACATCAGCATTGCCACCGTATTCATCAGAATCACGACCAG